GAGCAGGGAACATGTCTTTCTAGGACTGTGATGTATCATGTCCATTTGGAGTTCTAAGGAAATGTTTTATATTGACAAAAGTAAGAAAAACATTGTAATTACTTGGCTTTGTCAGAGATAAAAATACTAAGGACATAGGCATTTGCTGATTTCTAGCCCAATGGGCAGAAGTCTAAAAGGTGAGTAAATGAATACCTATGCTAACCCATTGATCATTTTTTTGCTAAAATAATTGATATATAAAATGCTACATTCTGCAAAGGAAATGTCAAATGGGAGGCTTATGCCAACAGTGGGCATATAGATGCATTTTTCCAGATGACATTATTTTGAGGCTGAATCCCTGCCTTAGTGACAGACATGATGGTAAAGCATTTATCTCTGGATTCTGCACAGGCAAATATCCAAACCAAATTATTTTACTAGATCAAGTGGAGCAAAGACCTTGTAGAGTTCTGAATGTAGTCATTTAGTCTTGAGGTCCTTACCATGGAGCATGTCTGTCTTGTGTGTGTGTGTGTGTGTGTGTGTGTGTGTGTATAAATGCTAAAGTCAATTAAGAATGCAAGCCATTTTCAGGACAATTTAAGATACAGATTTTGTGTACTCTTCCTTGGTTCTTGTAAGTAGAAAGGCTCTGAGAGAGAAGATAAAGAACAAGGCAAAAGCTGCAGCTGGAGAAAAGCCACTGAATAGTCAGCAACCAGTTCTATGTTCAGTGCGAATCAGAGAGAAGTCATCTTCCGCCAGACTGTCAGAGGAGAGAATGGTTTTTAATATAAGGAGTACATATCACAAACAGGTGGTCCTTTTTACATTTCGGTATGGTCCCTGCATCATCTCCATCATGCAGGGGAGGGCAGCTTGTGGGCAAAGGGTACCAAGTAAAGTAACCATTGCCCTTGTCCTCCTCATCATGTTTTATTGTCATGTCTTTGAAGCAGTCTTTAGGCATCTGTAGGTCTAGGACATGGCTGCAGTATGCCAAATGTACTCATGGTAGAAGATTTTTCTGTAGGTTTTACCAATCTTGATGGCCAAAACTTTTATTTATTTTCTAGAAAAGCAACTTTCTTTTTCATTATGTGTGGGGCCAGACTCATGCATGCCACACTCTAGTGGCTATATGCAAACTGGTCTTTTAGGCAAACAATTAAGTAACTGCTTAAACAGATGAAAGTGTTAGAAAGACAGAAAGACTCAGGATGTCTGGCTTCAATAGTAATGATTATAATAGTAATGATTATAATGAACCTGAGGCTTCTTTTGCTCCCTTCTATTTGATGACCCTCCATTGAAGTGGGTATGATAAAAAGTTAATTTCTAAATTCAGAAAAACTTTGCCTGTTTTACAATGTGGCTTCTACAATCACCACTGAATACCATTGCCCAACTGAATGGGCACACAGGATATGCTTCAGATTTTGGAAATGTCAGGCAGCTGATTCAGGAGTTGACTGCTTCTATTCAGACAGCCAACAACTACTGGTTTATTTTGGAATTGACCTTCTGCTTACCTCTAACTCCATACTGATTACTGAGGTTTGTTTTCTTAAGTGGTTTATGTATCTACTTGTACAGTAAAGAGTGAGGTGTGTGTTTTGAGGCCCAGGCTTGGATTCAGAGGGGTTGGTGTGGCTCCCTCTGTGTCTGAAGAAGAAGCTAAGGTTTTAATTTTTTTTTTTTTTTTTAATGGAGGAGTCTGTGTAGTACAAAGCAAGCCTCTTTCACTACAAATGTATGACAACAACTCTTAGAACATATTTAAAGCTTTGAAAGCTTTTGGCATTGAACTAAAAAATTGGGATCTCCAGCAATGGTTGGATCACAGACTTTCTCAACAACTCAAGACTTTCCCCTGTACTGGCATCAAGCACATTGCTGGAGAGCCTACTGTGTTCTTTCTGCTTGCTTTATCAATCTCACTCACAAAAAACTAAATCATTTGAAATTACATGGTAATTTAAATGCTGATAAATATTGAGATAGAATGGACTTTACCTGGCTCCTTTCACAACTGTGATGACATGGCTGTGCTGACAATATTAAGCATGTTTGTGTTTGTGTATGTATATTCACAAAACAACAGGGCTAAGATGTTATTTACAAAGTTCAGGCAGAAGAAATGCATTTGTGAAAGTTATTTCTCTCTTTTTAACTTGGACTAGTGCTTGAAAGTGTCCACATGAATAATTTTTGCAAGTCTGCTTGATCCAGCTATTCTCTATCTCAAATAAATCTCTTATCTGACTCTGAAAAAAGTAAATCACATGTCATAGAAGCAAAGAACCTGAGCAGGAAAAAGTGGTCCCCTGTCTACTATTGATTCTCCTGAAGAATATCCATAGAGAGCTATGGAAACTCTGTGGGGTTCCAAACCTTTCCCTACAAATTGACTAACAAATCATAAATGAGACATCCTTGTAGCATCTGAGATCTCTGTCTCAGGTGTGCCATTGCCAGTGTGTGCTCAGGGCAGTCTGCGTAAGAGTCTCAAGTATTAGGAAGAGAGCTGAGAGCACTGTTTTTAGTTGTGGGCAGATGGAGCATCCTAAAAGATGGTATACTTCAGTCCAGACACTATTTAGCCTGGACTTTAGCTTGTCAGCTCAGTGCAGGAGACATTTCTCAGTATGAAACTAGGATTTTCCAGTCAGAGCCCATTTGCACAAGTTTGAATCCTTTTTATTTTTAATCACAGCTACTGTCTGTTTTCTTGCTCCCATGTAACACATATTTTTTATCAGCAGAAAATGGGAACACTTAATTGATCACATTGTTATTTCTATTTTCACATATATAATTGTGATATAATTGTTATCACATCGTATTTTCATTTTAATTATGTCTTCATACTGTGATTGATATGAATAATATGGTCAGCATGATTTTGTACCACAGATTGTCATCAAAAGAGATTTTCTTCTGGAGAATCTTTGGCTTGGCTATAACACTAGACATTTTTTCTCAAAAATATTAAGAAGATTCATTAAAGATAAGGTTCCATGTTTCCATGACTTGTTTCGGGCTTGTTTGGCATTCTGAACTCATTACTTTTTTGGTTGTTTTTTTTTTTTTTTTAATATTAGAGCTGATACATTTTTGAGGCACTTCTTCATATAGGGCTGTAGATATTTTGTCTTTTCTGAAATTTCTTATTCCAGACCACTGTTCTTATTTCCTTCTTCACTGATTAGCTGACTCAGATAGCATTGGGACAACTGTTTTTCCTCTCTTACTAGGCTTCTTTCTCTTCCTTTCTTCAGTGTTCTAGCATCCCATTTGGTACACTTGAATATTTTTCTGCTTTATTCTCTCTATGTGCTGCTTTACATTTTTTAATTGATTTTACTTAGTTGTGAAAACTAGAAATATTAGAGCTGTCAGCCATCTTTTGTGCATTTTGCAGTTATTCTGTAGTGCCTCTGAAAGTTCTTGTAGAGTTAATAGATGCCCTGCAAAACCAACCATTTCAAGCATGCTCATTTTTTCTTTCACTGGCTCTTTATATTCTTCAGTTTACTTTATAATTGCATTATCAAACTCTTTTTTTTTTTTTGGTTTGAAGTTCAGTAGTTCATCCTGCAAGATGTGCTAGAATATTTAATGTCACAAAAGTTATGTGTAATTACTTCATACTTTTAACTAAAAATTTAAGTTATTACTTTTTTGTGTGTTTTGCATAGGGAGTAAACTAAATAACATAAATGACGCGTAGTTTATGGGATAGAGTCTGCTTTTGTATTCCTTCTGGACTGATCATCCATCATGGGTAATATTTAGTTATTTCTCTGCAAAGATCTGTGGGATTAGAAGAGTGACTATTGACTTCAAAGAGAACTAAATGCTTTTGAACATCTTGCCTTTGACATTATTTTTGGGAATGCTTGCATAGCTGGACAACGGTCAATACCAGTCTTTGAGAAGCAGAAATTGGCCCAAGTTTTCTGCCTTTTTTTAGGGAGGTTTACAGTTTTCAATTTGCTTTATCAGCAGAGCAGCTAGGTTCTGTTCTCTGAACTGGGGGTATTAAGATTTGGAAAAACGTGTGAAATATATGTAATTTTGCAGAAGGTGTAGAAAAGCTACATCAGAAACCATTAAGAAAAATGATGATTCAGAGATGTCTGTTGTTGCCTAACCCAGAATTACTTGACACAGCACAGCCCCAGGAGTAGGTTTTATGCAAATTTCTGCACTGTTTAGTGCCTCATGACTCCACTTGCCTTGTATTTCACTTCATTTTTAGCCTGTCGACAGCATTGGGAAGGGGAATGGTTATTCTACAATCATCATTCCCTGACAGTAAAAAGTCAATCTGAGCATTTGGAAATGACACAGTAATTTCTTGACCCTCACAGCAAATCTCCCAGAGACTTTAGAGAGGCCATGGTCATGCAGACATGTCAACTTCTATACTGTAAGGCCTCATCTTGGTGTGCACTCAGTATCTGCAGTATACAAGATGACTGTCACTGTGCTGTGACTCATTGTCTGCTCTGTGGTCACTTCCCGAGCTTCAGAGAGAAGACTTTGTCCCTTTTTACCCAGTACAGGTGGTACATCATTAGAGCTTCTCCCTGTTCTCATCCCCCCAAAACTGTCCATATGACAATGAAATACTGTGTTCTGGAGAACAAAGAGAATTCAGTTGAGGAAAAATTCCTCCTCTTCCTGCATGTGAGGCCTGAAAAGCACCTAGCACTGAGGGATCAGCCTTCAGTCTGTTTGCTGCAGGCTGCTCAGTATTTTATTGCTGGACACCAAGGGACTCAACTCCTGACATGACAACCCTATTTGTGCAGAGGCTCAGCAGCCTTTCAGCAAGGCCACTGGAGAGTCCTTGACAAGGGAACTTTGCTGAGCATGCAGGCAGCTTCTGGGGTGGCAGGAATGACAGGAAGCTCTACCCTAGAAGATGGAAAATTCCATTTGCTTATCTCTCACTATTCCCTGAAGTATCATGCCTGACAGTTGCTTCTCTCATACATTATTTGCAGGTTACACCAATGCTTTCTGGAAGTCTAGAGTCAGCAGACTTGGTTTCCATGTGATGTTTACATACTCTTCTTATCACCTCAGGTATTATTTTACTTCCTTATCTTGAATGTGCTTGGTACATGAAGTTTTCTGACCTCTGTTCTTCCTCTCTCCCCCCGCCTTCTTTTCTTGGCAGCTGTAATTTCTACATTTGTTTCCGTAATAAACTTTTGTAATTTAATTGCTTCTTTTTCAGTCCTATTGTAGTTTGTACAGGTTTCTACTTGCCTGGAAAGTCCTTCCTAAAATTTTAGTTGTTCCTACAGGAAGTGTGAGTCTTGGTCTATATATCTACCCCTAATGTATAGTATATATTACTGACATTTACATTTGACCTAATGATTTGTAGGATCACATGACAGAGAAGTTATGGGGCAGGGAGGGTGTCATGCTCCCCTTTGTTTTTTTCGGATAACTTCTGTCTTTGTTACTATGTATTTCTAATTGTCTGGTTTTAAATATTTCTTTCATGTGCTCAATGTGTAACCCAATTTACTAACTTTCACTGTTTGAAAAAGATTTGTTTCTTTTTTCCAGATAAGAAACTCAACTTTTCCTTTCACACTCTTTTTCTTTACCTATTTTTGCATTATCCAAACCCACCTTTTTATTGTCATATACTGAAATGTTAGTGTCAATAGAAAAGCTCTGCAGATAGGACCCTATGTTTTCAGCGTCTGAAAATTAGGGGCCTGCCCCTAATTTGAAACTTTATGACAAATTCCCTAAGTTTATTTGGATTTTTATGTCTGTAAATGAGGCTAAATTTTCTTTTTGGATGTTACATACAGTACATGGACAGAAGAGACTATTCTGATCCTTTTCAAAATATCCACATTTAATATATCCAATATATCCACACTTGTTGACCAGTGTTGAATTGGAAAGCCATTCACTTGAATAGCCAGCAGGAGTTCAAATCTTTTTCTGCATCTGCTTCCAGAGTAAACTCTCAGCATGACCTCCGCCTCATTTTGTTCCTAGATGAATCAGTGTAGATCTGGCTTTCTCAAACTAAACATTGTTCTTTCTATGTACCTTCCCAAGTGATCCAAATTCAGAGGAAAACCTGACTTGTCATTATTTTGTCCAAATTTTATTTCAGTGCCATCTTTGTAGGCTTCATTACAGTTTTACCTGTCAATATTAATTTTGCAAAAAGCTATTGCAAAAACCACAGTTCCAATTAGGGGGACATTTTTCCAATGCCTCTTAGTTTCATTGGTCCTTGATAAGTGTAGTATAAATCTGTCATCACCTTTGGTGCTAGCAGTGTGGAGTGCTTCTGCAGGCTGGAAGGCACCAGTACCTCCATTTTCTTTATAACAAGATACTCTGAATCTCCAGCCAGGTGCAGTGCAGGTGCCACTTCCCAACACTGCTCCACTCTGCTATGCTCAACACCCATTTCTCTGACTACCCAGGAGACCCATTTACTACCCTCTCTTGCAGCATTTAATTTTCAGTCAGTTCTCTGGTATAGAATTTTCATCATATTCTAAGCCATCTCAATACATGGACACTTCATCCAGACTTCTTGTACAGTTTTTTGATGCAAGTTTTCCATACCTGTGTTTAGTTTAATTTTTCAAAAATTGCTTATTTCAGTAGCTGTTTAACCTGACCTTGGTGTTTTTTTTTTTTTTTTGGTAGGTTTGTGAAGTTTTGTTATTGTTGTTGTTTTGTTCATTAATTTCCTTGTGACAGGAGGGAAGTTTGGCTTTTTCTGAGCTATATGATGAAGTTATATGGCATAGTTCTGGGATTTGTATTTTACTAACAGTAATTATATTTTTTTCTGGGTCTGCAATGCCTCTGTTACTGGGATTTTTTTCACTCTTAGGAATCATCTTACTGTCTTGAACTCTCCATGCCACTGATTTATGTCCTTTTGTCATGCTACAAAATTTCTATAAGCCTGGTTTGTAACTTAGTTTCCTACATGTCATTGTCCTTATTTACAGTAGAATTTGTGTACTTTATTTTGAACATCAAGGAGGAAGAAATTTTTTTTTCAGGTAAAATTTTTTAATGCTGTTGTTCTTAACCTTCTTACTGAATGTTGTTTTGTCTGCCAGTTTCTTCTTCTCACAACAAACAATTCTGATAGCATGTATTTGGGCAGAATAGGCTTTTTCTTTCCTCTAGTTGTCTGATATTCCTGGTACACTTGAGCATCAGATAACAAACAGGCTTCTAAGTGCTAGTTTTGTGCTCTTCTTTTTTTCTTCTGCTTGCTTGAGGTTCATTATTTCTCCTAAATTGTTTCCAGCATGAGCATCGATGAGACAGACACAGCAAGAAGGAAGAGTTGTGCTGTTGGGATTATACTGTAGGGGACACTGCATGCTGTTTTCTGATATGATTAATCAGCTTAAATGTACAGAGCTTTTTAGACTAAAGAAATCCATTTTGAAAGGGAGTTTGCTTGGTTATGACCAAGATAGGAAGGCGAGGATTTCCCTCTTCCCATAAAGGTAGAGATTTTACCAAGGACAAGATGGAAATATTGCTAAGTAATACTAAGACATGAAGGTGGGGGAAGTAGTCAGGCCCAGCAGCCAGGCTTCGATTTGTAAGCCACAAATATGTGCATGGAGCATCTCAGGGCTTTTGAAGCCAGAGGCAAGTGTAGGCTGCAAAGGTCCTGGGCAGAGCTCTAGAAATAGAGGACTTGGCTTTTGAAGGGCAGCCCCCAAGCCCCTTTGTATACAGACAACTGCTGGGCAAATATGGCCATGGGGAGGCACGGCCAGGGAGTGCAAGAGAAGGGGCTTATCTATTGTACTCAACACATGAAGACCCCAGCACAGTGTTTAGTTTGATTGGTTTGTTTTCAAAGCTGAGGAGAATGAAGAAAACAAGCTGCGATGCCATCATGGCACAAGGCTCAAAACCTCCACACTGAGACAGCAGTGGTCTCCCTTCATGTGGATTGTGATTTCATTTAGAGGGCCTTCATACAGATAGGCAATGTGGATGAGAGGTGCTTTGCAGGGCTAAAGTAATATCAAGAAGAAATGAAAATGCTGGGAAGCCCTCTAGGAGATGCAAACATGCCTACACCAGGTCATCTTTCTGCTGTGCTGATTTTGGAGGGTCTCTGTATACGGAGAGCCCATGCAGGGGTTAGGATATGCTGTGATTTACCCAGAAAGTGCCTCTGGTAATTTCATTCCCCGTACCACTGAACAACAGCCTTGGCTATCCTGGGAGCTATCCATGGGAAGGGTTACTATTAAACACAGGTTAATTGCTTGCTTTTTTTTTTTTTTTTTTTTTTTTTTTTTTTGGGGTGGGTTTGGGGGGCTTTCGGGG